ATTTTTAAAAATACAGAACACCAAACAAATACTAGTACGGATATTTGCGTGACTCTCCCGCCAAAAAAGACCAAACAGCTGGTACTCTCTCCCTCAGCCCTACCAAAAATAGCCCAACATCTTTCTTGTTTATTCTCTTCCAATTTCTCACTTTAACTGGTATTTTTTACTTCATATTGCCTACATCAGATAAACTACAGTAATTGAGGTTAGATATTGTTATAAATTTGATTACCGGGTCCTGGCAGGTACCGTTAGAACCACCTGACCCTACCAACAATGTTGCATTTTTTTTTTTTACATTTTTGGTGTCTCCATTTGTTAATTTTTTTTCTGTGGGGTTTGCACAATAGTATACTGTTTTACCTAAAGTATTGTAAAACGATTTGGGAAAAGAAATACTCGGTAACTTAAAATTTTAAAAGGAAAATTTTGAAACTGGCAACTGTGTGTAGATGACCTGACTCACATCATATTGATGTTTCAAATTTAATTAACAAAAATTTATGTATCTATAAATAAACTTTTAAAAATGAATACTTTATGTTCTACATACTCCTGTGCATACCATACCATGCATTTGGCTACTTTGGGCTTGCTATGATGACGCAACTGTACCGACACTCACAGCGGGTGGTGCGTTGGTGCATCGTTTCCATTGTTTACTGGTAGTTACTGGTAAATATTTTTCAACCTAACGAAACTATTACCCGTATAGAGGTCGACCCCCAACTTTTTGCCCAAAAATTTGGTCTTAAGAACTCGTGCTATACACGGGTATATACGGTACTTGATGACTTATTTTTTACTTTCATTTACTGTATTTTGTCATTTTATTTCTTCATTTATCCTAAATTAAGTGATTGTAGATGCATATAAGGGCGATGATATAGTGGGATTTTAAACATTGTTCTGTAAGTACGGTCTGCACATAGCATGTGTTCCAACTAAAGAACGTCTTCAGAGACGAAACCCAGGGACCCCCTGTATACAGCATTATCTTTATTCATAAGGCAAATTTTGTAGTTATTTATAAATAATACTTTACAGTACGAAACAATCATATCAGTGAAAACAGTTGTCAACAACCAGACTTGCCCAGTATGTCTGATTTTCAACCCGAAAGTTGTGTCTCATATTTTTTTATTGTAGATGTAATAGTGTTTTACTAACCTCGTTATGTGCTTAAAGACATTAGTCGTTGGAGCACAGTAATAGCATTATAACAACAACTGAATTTCTTGAAACATTCCAATTAGTGTGGTGTATCGAGGTACTACTGTATTAAAAAAATCATCAAGGACAAAAACTATACAGTAAAAGTCCAAAAATCCGGATGCCAGGAATCCGGACCCCCCGAGAATCCGGACTTTTCGAAAACTCAAACTTTTTAAATTTAGCGGGCTTTTGTGGGTTATGTGAATGAATGGAGTTGCTTTAAAAAATTAATTTACATAATTCTAATAATAAAAGTAATTGTAAATTATAGGTAGCTAATTTTGTTAGTTTTGTAATTAGCTTGAACTGAAATGTAAAATTTGAGGCACTATAAATCTTTTGTGTGTATGTGTGCATGCGTGAATGCCACAGCTGCACAGCGACAACAAACGACCACACGATCGCCACTTTAAAACAAGCCATCAAACTGTGGCAACGTATGTAATTTTGAGTCCTACTCTTTCCATGTACAGAGTACAAGCCCATAATAATGGCCACTAAAGTAGATAAACTTTGTTGTGTGAAGAGAAAGAAGAACACATTCAAAATTGAGTGACAAACTTGAAATAATTAAGAAACTAGAATGTAATGTGAGCAATGCTGTTCTAATGGAAACATACATTGGAAAGTCTACAATTTATGATATAAAAGAGGCAAAGAATAAAATTCTAGAATTCACAGCTTCTTCTGAGCCTTACATTAAAATTGCTGAAAGAAAAAGTTTACATTGGCCCAAATTAAAAAATCTTGATAAGGTGTTGCACGAATGGTTTTTGTTAAAACGATCAGAAGGTATGGCAATTTCTGGGCCGATGCTTATTGCCAAAGCAAAGTCTTTTAAGGAGCAAATGAACATTGAATCAGAGTGCACATTTAGTGATGGATGGCTTAGGAATTTCAAGACTCGTCATGGTATTAGACAGTTTGTTTACATTTTTGTCTAGTGTTGACTTTATTTTTCTTTAAAACTGCTCGTTTTGATAAATGAAGCATGCTATATTTGCTAATGAATAAACTATCAAAATGTACCTGTTCATCTCTTCTTTATTCCTCCTTAAATTTTAATTTTAAAAGTACTGTCTGAGAATCCGGAAAATCCGAAAATCCGGACCGACCCAATCCCCAAGCAGTCCGGATTTTTGGACTTCTACTGTATACCTGTATAAATATGCATTTGGTACTCCTCTTTGTTACCTCAATAAAATAAATTTAATAGTAAAATTCCTGTTATCAATTATGGTATAATATGCCTCATAACTCTACAACAGCAGTTACTTTGTAAACTAATTAACAAATTACTGGTACAGGGGCACCCCCAAATACATGGAGGTTAGGTTCTCAACATGGCCGCGAATCGCCAAATCCGCGAATAACATGAGAGAGAGAGAGAGAGAGAGAGAGAGAGAGAGAGAGAGAGAGAGAGAGAGAGAGAGAGAGAGAGAGAGAGAGAGAGAGAGAGAGAGAGAGAGAGAGAGAGAGAGAGAGAGAGAGAGAGAGAGAGAGAGAGAGAGAGAGAGAGAGAGAGAGAGAGAGAGAGAGAGAGAGAGAGAGAGAGAGAGAGAGAGAGAGAGAGAGAGAGAGAGAGAGAGAGAGAGAGAGAGAGAGAGAGAGAGAGAGAGAGAGAGAGAGAGAGAGAGAGAGAGAGAGAGAGAGAGAGAGAGAGAGAGAGAGAGAGAGAGAGAGAGAGAGAGAGAGAGAGAGAGAGAGAGAGAGAGAGAGAGAGAGAGAGAGAGAGAGAGAGAGAGAGAGAGAGAGAGAGAGAGAGAGAGAGAGAGAGAGAGAGAGAGAGAGAGAGAGAGAGAGAGAGAGAGAGAGAGAGAGAGAGAGAGAGAGAGAGAGAGAGAGAGAGAGAGAGAGAGAGAGAGAGAGAGAGAGAGAGAGAGAGAGAGAGAGAGAGAGAGAGAGAGAGAGAGAGAGAGAGAGAGAGAGAGAGAGAGAGAGAGAGAGAGAGAGAGAGAGAGAGAGAGAGAGAGAGAGAGAGAGAGAGAGAGAGAGAGAGAGAGAGAGAGAGAGAGAGAGAGAGAGAGAGAGAGAGAGAGAGAGAGAGAGAGAGAGAGAGAGAGAGAGAGAGAGAGAGAGAGAGAGAGAGAGAGAGAGAGAGAGAGAGAGAGAGAGAGAGAGAGAGAGAGAGAGAGAGAGAGAGAGAGAGAGAGAGAGAGAGAGAGAGAGAGAGAGAGAGAGAGAGAGAGAGAGAGAGAGAGAGAGAGAGAGAGAGAGAGAGAGAGAGAGAGAGAGAGAGAGAGAGAGAGAGAGAGAGAGAGAGAGAGAGAGAGAGAGAGAGAGAGAGAGAGAGAGAGAGAGAGAGAGAGAGAGAGAGAGAGAGAGAGAGAGAGAGAGAGAGAGAGAGAGAGAGAGAGAGAGAGAGAGAGAGAGAGAGAGAGAGAGAGAGAGAGAGAGAGAGAGAGAGAGAGAGAGAGAGAGAGAGAGAGAGAGAGAGAGAGAGAGGACGGAGGTGAAGGCCGAACAGTGCTGGCGGACCTGATTAAATTGTTTGAAAGAGGTGAAGCGGGGCGTAAGCGCTTTAGTGCTAGCGCGTTCTTAGTCTGGGGCGGTCGGGCGTTTTAGTACATCACCGGGCGTAAGCAATTTTTAGTACGCCACCTGGGCACGCTTAGTACGCCACCGAGTGGGCGTTTAGTGCCCTGGGCGCCTTAGCACGTCACTAATGGGCGCCTTAGCACGCCGGGCGAAGCGGTACGCCACCCGCTAAGGGTTAATAAGTTTGTTTCTGATTATTTGTATGTGTTTTGCACACACACACACACACACACGTCACCAGCCTGGTCGTCTTCTCTCAACTCCACCCAAAAACGTCAGCTAGAGAAGGTACAGAAAAGGGCCTGCAGAATCATGCTCGGCGCAGAATACTCCGGCTACACCAACGCCCTCTCCACCCTGGAAATGCCATCCTTCAGTGACCTCCACCACCAAGCACTGGAAAGGTTTGGCAGTGGACTTCTGCACCACCCTCGTCATCGCCACCTCCTGCCACCTGCAGCCCCCCACCCAACTCGCGCAGTCCGCCACAACAAAATTCAGCCCAGAAGAGCCCGCACCGATAGATATAAGAACAGCACCATTCTATCTATTGTTAAAATAATAAATAACTCCTGATTTATGTACTGTACAGCCATGTAAATGTATTCAATGCACATTATATCATTATGTCTAAATCAAATGTAAGTCTGTATATTTTCAGCCACCGGCTGCAACTCTATTAATAAACCGTTTATTATTATTATTATTCACACACACACGCACACACACACGCACGCAGCCTTCTGGCTGCCAAGCTCTTTCAATAAACCGTTAATAATTATTATTATTATTACACACACACACACACACACACACACACACAAAAATACAGGTAAAGGAAATTACTGTCTCTAGAACGAATGGCTCCCTGCCCCAGCCGCGAAAATGCCGGCAACTTTAAAACTACCCACAGACATTCTTGGGTACATCCAGAGTGTCATCCGCGCATAATAGAGGACCGTGAAATTGGGGGGGGCCCCCCCTGTACTGATCAATAAATAACAAGTATAACTTCATAAAATAAAGAGCATTAAAATTTAAGTAGAGCAAAATCCCATGAAAATTATCTTTTGACCTGATTTAAATAACGTGAATACTATTTAGTTCTTAATCTATATAACCGTCAACAATGATTACCAAAAATTAAATCTTGCCTTAACCTTTCCATTTCAATTATCAACCCAAAACTTTACTACCTAACAATGAAATCTTTATCCAACTGTATACTGATAACATCGACTTACCTGATATCTATCTTGTCCACAGTTGAAGCCACGGACTTGCTGGGCCGTCTCAAACAGATCTTGTCTAACTTGATTCATCTGTCGCTGAAGAAGATCCAGTGTCTTGGATGCATCATCTGCACTTAGATGCTTGTCATCCTCCTTGAGAGTAAAGGGAAAGGATGAGTAGAGTGAAATATGTAAATCATATTTAGGCAAGTGTGTATCCACAATACTAAATGTTGAATTACAGGAAAGTTTGTAGAATACAATATAAAGAACATAATTTTAGATAAATAGGGTATTTTTCCTTAGGCTGTCCACCTTATTAACACTTTTATGACTGACCATTTTGTGGTCAGTTATCTGGTGCAAGAGCCATGTTCAGTAATTATATCTGAGAAGAGCATTAACTAAGACAACTACTGAAGTTCACTACTCATTTTTCCTTAAAGTTTGTGCCACTCCAAATTACTGTACACGGTGACAATAGTATGACCAAGAATACAAAAGAAATTAAATTCCTCCATGGACAATTGTGGCAGCCTGATGTTTCTGAGAATGCTGGTCTTGAAAATTATGCTCATTTACCAAATTTCATTGACATCTGTAGTTTGGGAGAAGGCAAATATGACACCACTTCATCTGACTTATAGCTACCATACACCAATAAAGTGTTTTTCTTGTGCTGTATACAAATTTTAAATACAGTACATAATCTTCTATGTACAGTTAAGTGATAATGTATAGCCACAATTTTCATTTTAAAAATCTATCTGAAATCTTCATAAAAATCTGCTAAAAAAAATAATAAAGCCTTACTCGCATTTCCACAAATTATGAATAAGAATACTCTACGCAAAAAATAAGTGCTCAATCAGGTACAGAGGAAGAAGGCAACTATAAAGAAGAGGCTACCAACAGTTACCTTTACCTCATCAGGAATTTCCTCCATTGCATCACTATCATTCCCACTTTCATTTTCATCCTCCTCTTCTTCCTCCTCCTCCTCTTTCAACTTGTCATCTTCCTTGTCTTTCTTCTCTACTTTATCCTGTTCCCCTAGGCAAGAAGAGATGGCTGACACACTTGACATATTTGAGTCTTCCCCTCGGTGCTCCATCATTGATCTCATTGCAGCATTGTAGATCCTTTTTCTTGCTACACTCATGCGGAGTCTGCAAAAATTTACCATATACTGTATATATATTATGAAGTATTTACTCTCACTTGTTTAACAAAGAAATTGTGCTTTGTGGAAATTTAAGATATATATACAGTAAACTGTATTCCTCAAAATGTACACTTATCTGAACAGTCAAAAGTGCTAAAATGTACAATAACAAAACATCATATCTTCTTTAAAGACAAATACGCACGCACGTACCCACACAAATTCATCACTTACTTTCTTATTCGGGCATCTAGTTTCCACTTTTCTGTTTTGAGGCCATTGTGTCTATCCAAAGAGTCCTCAATTTGCCTTACTACAGCTTTGTTTTGGAGAAGTTCATTGCAAACGTATGCGACAATCTCACTCTTCTGTGTTGGGTTAAGTGCTAGGAAGGGTAGTTGCATTAGCCACTGAGACATCTTGTATGCATCCATCTCTGCTAATTTTGAATCCCAATCTTGTGCTTTTTTAGGATTCTCACGACGTTCCTTTTCAGTACCTAAGAGCCCATGAATAACACGAACCTGTGGGAATATTTCTAGTTGAATAAAACATGTATTTTCTCTCCACATTGTAAAACCATATAATGCATCTTAATCCCTGAATAAAAGTCACAACAATCCAAGAAATGAATAAAGCTATCCTAAACTTACCTCCCCTGTCGCATTGGCATTAAGGTAGACCCGCAAAATCTCTGAAATATTAGCATGGGTAATGTCTGCTCTATTTAGAGTTTGACCTAATATTGTAGTGTGTCTTTGAGAAGAGGGAATCCCAGGATCTTCAATGGCACAAACAAGTAAGTGAGAAAGAACACTCAGAAGTTCCTCTTCACTTTCACTGTCATTCAAGAGGGCCATCTGGAGGCTCTGTATGGAGGGTAGTGATTCCATGTCTGCAAACAAGAGAAGATGGTTGGAACTAATTAATATGTAGGGAGGAAAATTGTCTGAAATTTTAACTAAAATTAGACAATACTGTACAGTATAATGTACAATTAACAGTAACTACATACTTTCATCAGAAGTGACTAAAAAATAGTACAGGTATGCTCAAAACCTTAAATAATATAGTACATATTCAGAATTCTCATTGATCTGACCCATCTAAAAAGTAGGATGCTCATTGCAGAGAAAGGAACATACAAATTTATTTATTTATCCTTTTAATCAAGAAATCCTTAGTGTTTCACTAGACACATATCAAAACAGCATATACTACCTCTCCTGGTACATTCACTTCCAGTTAGAATAAATTTGTCAGTCCAAAAACAGTCTAATAATACCCATCTTTTCCATTATCCTGTTTACATGAATACATAACAATATACTCTTTATGCCTCTTTCAGCATACATTTCTGTCTCTCCATTCACAGTTCACTGCTGGTACCCCATATATTTTAACAATTCACTGCCGGTACTCCATATATTTCCACAATCCACGACACTTCCCTTTCATCAACTCTTGCATTTATATGTGCCATCACCATCACTGTCTCACTCAAACTTTCAATACAGTTATTCCAATCTTCCCAGAATCTCTCTCTCTCTCTCTCTCTCTCTCTCTTTTCCTCCTCTTCACCCTTTTTAACCCTTACATCTAATCTAAGATAAAATACAGAATTCTTGAGTTATACCCATTCTGCTCTCTACATGTCATCACTTAACAACTCTAACTTCTTCAGACACTCCTATCTTATTTTCTCTTTACCTCTCCCCTACTCACTCCTCCTCTGCCCTTCAACTTTGCTTCACATACAGATTCAAGTGGTCCTGTTTTACCTACTTTTGTTTCTTGTCAGGAACTAAAGACAAGAGATGGTGTTATTAGCTCCACGACCCAGGAACAGAATTGGGGTAAATAAAGTTCTAAGCATGTACCCTCCACCTGTCTACTTACATGCATATAACTGATCTAAATTATTTTGGATTTTTATGTTTGAATTGATAATTTTCATATTTACTCTGATTGTAGTCAAAATACAAAGAATCATAAAATTCCATACAAACTTACCGAAGCCTAAAGTCTCCCCAAAGTTATGCAAGAACTCGAACACCATTAGAATATTTCCAAAGGCTTCAGGAGGGAGTCGCAGCCCTTCTAAACGTGGAGCATCTGGCAGAGGAATGTGATCAGTAAGTTCCATGTCCTCCTTTACTTCCTTCATTAACTGATTGAGTTCCCGAGCTTGAAGGCGTTCTTCTCGTTTCCTGTGGTCAACAAGACAGTTAAACTGATACAGTATTACAAACATAAATATCTTATACAGTGATCCCTCGGTTAAGGAGCGCCTCGGTTAACGAGATTTCAGTTAACGATTTACCTTCCATAAGATTCTTAACTTCGGTTAACGAGCAATCCCTCGATTAACGAGTTTTTTACGAGCCAACCTCAACATGTTTTCGCTTGCATTTGGCTGTCCAGCTGTAGTATTAGTCCGCCAATACAGTAATCGGTTTTAGGCCTTAAATTCCTTACTATTTTAGTAAATATCAAGAAGTTTATACTATTCAATGATTTTAAAAGTTTAATATTAAATTTTTTAGTCATTTTAACAATTATTGAACTTAATTGAAGGTAAAGACACTAGTTTCATGCACGCCATCCAGCCTGGCAACACACCAAACAGGCGCCAGTCTCTCTCTCTTTTCAGTGGAGGGAACCTCTTGCTTGAGACTCTCTTCAACTAAATGCTTTTTTCTGTGTTTGCATGCAAATTATTGGTCATTTTGAAATTTAATTTACATATTGACAATATATAATGCAGTGCAGTGTTGATTTAAGGAAAATAATCTTGAATTAAACCAAGAGAACTAAAATTTTATGGGTGAAATGGCGCCATGGGGAGACTTCTCTTCCACCCCAATGCCTCTCTTCTCCCTTCTCCTCCACCCCCATTCTAATTCCCATCATCATCATCATCATCATCATCCAGGAGCCTTCTACATACACACCTCAAAGTAAGTGTACTTTTCTACCTTTTTTGTTGAATTTAGGCAATTTTCGGTGAGCTGGAACCAATTACCCAAAAACCCATTGAAACAATGGTTTCGGTTACCTCCAGTTACCTCCAGTGAAAACAGAGAGAGACTAACTCCTGTTTGCTGTGTTAAGAGGCTGGATGCCGCGCATTAAACTAGTCACTTTACCTTCAATTATGTTCAATAATTGTTAAAATGACTAAAAAAATGAATATTAAACTTTTAAAATTATTGAATAGTATAAACTTCTTGATATTTACTAAAATAGTAAGGAATTTAAGCCCTAGAACCGATTAATGTATTGACGGACTGATACTAAAGCTGGTTGCCCGGTCAGTGCAAGCGAAAACATGTTGAGGTCGGTTCGTAAGAACTTCGTTAACCGAATTTTTTTTCGTTAACCAAATTGAAGATCCTTATGGAAGGCAGTTCGTTAATCGAAATTACGTTAACCGAGGTGTTAGTTAAACGGGGGGTCACTGTACATTTCAGTGGAGTTGATATACATAAATATGATAAGGGAGGAAGGCAGTACAACATGGGTTATATTAAGGTGGAACAAGAGGACAGCTGTCAGTATCATGTCAAGTTTGCAAAAATATTTATTGCAATGGTAATTTCTATCTATCTACATGATAATTTATGATAAAACGGTTTTGGTGGTACAGTAAAGGCAGGAATATAAAGTAGGTATTACAAAAACTATTAATACTTAGACAATAGACGTTTTTTAAGAGATGATTTAAAAGAAGGGAGCACATGGCCGAGATCATGTAATTCAATGATTAATTATCAGTCAGTATCAGTGTTGTTAGTTCTATACAGTGTTTGTTTTTTACCTTCCATTATACTCTGGTTTGGTGATTGTGAAGTGGTTTTTGCTGTTTTTTTGTGACTGTAAAGTGCTTTGAGCAGACACTGACCATTGTTCATGCGGATTGTTTACATTGTAGATAGGTGAGTGGTCTTACTACATCATCAATGCTAAAGCAGAATATTGTAGATCAGGAGATCATAGATCATGGGATATCTATATGGCTCTAAATCCCCCAATAATTTTTATAATACAAAACCCTAACATGTTTACCATTGTGTTATTCCTCTTTTATATCTTATTTCTTAGTGAATATTTACAACACTTATGACCGTCTTTTTTCTCAATCCTTATCTGAAATAATTGTTTATGGCAAGAAATAAGAGAAAACATACTGTGGGCCACCCTAAGTTTCCCATTATTGTGAAATGATGTCCCTCCAATACCTGACTTACAAACATACCCCCCTGTATTATTAATCACACTATCACTGTACCTGTATTACAACAGTCACTACCACACACCACCATAATCACCCACACAATACCTCACTACAGTAGAACGTCGATATAACACAAAATACGTTCCAAGAGAGGTCGCTTTAAACTGAATTCGCACTAAATCGAAGTGTTGTTTCAATAGAATAATTTAGTTTGGTACTTGAGAGAAACACAAAATACTAAAAAGACTGAGAGTCTACCCAGATGCACCTCAGCCCATCTCCTAGAATAAACAAAACATTGTTTTTGTAGTATTATGTTGAAAGATACACTCATTAATCAACACAGCTACAATTATGGCTATGAAATGGTTTGTTTACTGGCTGGGAAGATGGGGGGGGGGAAGGGAGGGAGGTGAGGTGATATGTTTAACAGTTGATGCCAAGGTCTAGTGCTTTTTTATTTATCTGTCCTTAAGAGTGACTTTAAGTTTTTCTCTTATAAAATGTCACTGAACTGACAGGTTCTAATTAATTCTATTATAAAGGGCTAAAATTTTGATCTCGTGCAAAATATATGACGTTTATATTCAAATTATTCGCTGTCTTCCAAGGATTCTAGCAATGCAAATTATATTCTCCTAACTTTCTAACTTTAGTCTGTGATATTATATAAGATAAAAACTTAAAGCCTAAAACCACCAAACCCTGGCTGGGAAGATGGGGGAGAGGGAGGAAGGGGAGGTGACATGTTTGACAGTTGGCGCCGAAGGTCTAGTGAAGTATTTATTTGTTTATTTATGTCCTTTAGATTCAGTTTTTGTTTTTTGTTTATAAAATGTCACAGAAGTGACCGGGGAGAATATAATTTACATTGCTGGAATTCTTATAAGATAGTGAATAATTTGAATATAATCATGCTATAGTTTGCACTAGACAAAAATTTTAGTGATCATTTCGTGCATTATTTTGAGTACATGTACAGTACAGCTTTGCCCTTAAGACAGTGTAGTGTACCCAGAGAAACATTAGGCGCGAATTTAAAAATATGAAGTGCCAGATTGACTCGCACAAAATAGGAAAGATTTGCTTTAAAGAAACCTTTGTCCTTAAATGTGGGTTTCGCTTGAAATCAATAATCTTAAATTGAATCACTTTAAATCGATGTTCAACTGTATTCACCCCATCACCACCAACCTTCCCCTCTACACCACTTCAATACCCATCCCAACACACACACATAAAAAAAAAATATCAGTGGTGATAAGACTACAGGGAGTCCCCGACTTACGAATGCCTGCCAATACAAAAGGGGTTAAAATTTAAATTTACAGTACAGTGATATCCCCATTAGCCGGAAATATTGGTGCAGAGCACTTCCGGGAATGAAAGATTTCCGGGTAACGAGACGACTCCCTCAAAGCCGGAAAAAAATCCCTCATCCCCGGAATTTTCCGGAATTTTCGGGGTATTGGGAACATTTTTCTCGGAATTTCCAGAAAATGAGCCTGATTTTCATCTCTCAAGACTGAAAAAAACTCTCCTGTCCCTGGAATTTTCCGGAATTTTTCCAGGTATCAGGAAAATTTTCTCGGAATTTTCTGGAAAATCGTTCCCAAAGCCTAAATTTTCCGGAAATTTCGACTTTGGGAACGATTGTCCGAGAAAATTTCAATTTCGGCTATTGGAGAGTTTTCGGGTTTGAGGGATTCCAGCTAACAGAGATATTACTGTACAGTATAGTCTCGATTTACGCGGACTTGGTTTACGCGTTTGGTCAGACCGACAATTTTTATTTACACGGTTCATTCCATCATTTATGCGGGAAGCAGTGCGGGCAGGGTGCGCACAAGGTCGCCCAGTCAACAAAACATTACCTAGTTCCTCACCTGCCACCCACCACAGCCGGCCCAAGTCAGTGATAGTGATAGTGAGGATATGGACTTTGAGGGGTTTGACATAGAGGCCCTGCAAGCCTCTGTGGTGGATAGTGATACAATTGATACAAGTGATACAGGTGAGGGCCAATAATCTGCCCTCTGCCTCGTGTGCCCAGCCATCTTTTCTACTAACATAAGTGTTAAAAAACCTAATATTATTGATATTTCTTTAAATATTAATTGTGTGTGTGCATACCATCATAAAATTAAGATGTTATTTTTACTACAACATACGTATTATGTCGGAAAAAGTGTAGTTGGGGGTCGGCCCAGTCTCTATTTCAATTAATCCCATATGTTCTGTTATTTCGTTTACACATTCCTCGTTTTACGAGGACCTCCACTGGTTCAATTGACTGCGTAAATGAAGACTATACTGTATTTTATTTACCTGACGATATATTTTTTACTTACATTTACTGTATTTTGCCATTCTATTTCTTCTTTTCTCTTAAATTAAGGACTTAAGCTGTGAAATAGTGGGATTTTAAACATTGTTCTGTAAGTATGGTATGCACATAACATGTGTTCCGACTTACATACATTTCTGACTTATGAACGTCCTCAGGAACGGAACTCATTCATAACCCTGCATTGGGATATCAGAGTATTCCACCAATGACATAGGGCAGTATTTTTTCAGTATTTTCCATCTAAATACTCACCAAATGGTGTAATTAAATTTGTGCCGTGAGCTGTTGCCAATGTAAATACAGTATGCCCGGACAATTCGCGGATGACACCCTGGATATGACCAAAAAAGTCTGCGGGTATTTTTCAAGTTGCTGGCATTTTCGCGGCCAGGAGTGGGAGCCATTTGTTCTAGAGACAGTAATTTCCTTTACCTGTATTGTATGTATGAATGTATGTGTGTGTGTGTAGACACACACACAAAACACATACAAATAAATAATAATTGGAAATCCTCTCACAAATAAATTTATTAAAAATGTGATTCTACCCTCAAGTCTACTCTGTGCTTTATTAATAACAAAGCACAGAGTAGACTGTCATATTTTTAACCCATGAGCCCCGT